CCAGCCACTTATTTATTTTTCCTAAAAACCAGCCTTTTTTTTTTAGACGTTTATTTTTGAGAGAGAGGGAGACAGAGTGTGAGCAGAGGAGGGGCAGGGAGAGAGGGAGACAAGGAATCCCGAGCAGGGTCTCTGTGCTGAGCTGTCAGCACGGAGCCAGACAGGGCTCAGACCCATGAAGGGCGAGATCACCACCTGAGCCAAAGTCAGATGCTTCATGGACTGAGCCACCTAGATGCCCCAAGAAAGGAATGTTTTTAAAAGTGGACCCACATCCCCTCACAGAAGGAACAGTAATTTTGTGGGGCACGACGACAGTTTCTCCTAGCCAGGAGATAAAGGAAAGCTGGGGAGGTGGGTTGGAGATTCAGGCAGCCAAGGACAGGCTAAGCAGCGCCCTTTTTCAGGGTTCTTAATGATGCAGTTTGAAGTGTTGGGGTTCGGAGCTGACGACCAAGAAAGAATTCTTGAGATGTCTTTGGTGGAAAAAAGGTGGTTTTATGAAAGCACAGGGACAGGACCTGTGGGCAGAAAGAGCTGCACTAGAGTTGGGAGGAGTGACTGATTATATAAGATTTTCTATCCTAAGAAGGCAAGGATGATGTCAGGGTCTCAGGGAATTCAATCTGTAGGTTTCTGGAAGTTTGGCTATTGATAAAATTGCTTTTTTCCTTGTAAATCATCAAGATGATTACAACCGATAGAGACTCCTGTCCTGCATGACTGTGGTCTCTATCAGTTAACCACTTGTTTTTCCTCTAGCAAAGTATTAACATTAAGACAACTGGCCATTCTTGGAGGAATGTCACTCTGCTGTCTCAAGGACTTGTCAGAGGGCTGTAAGTTGTAAAGAAATTTAATTTTCCATTTACTCTGTTTCCCACATCATTAAGACATGAACTTCAAAACAAATTCCACCTCTGAGAAAGGTCCAAAGTAGAGGACGCACTGTTTGGAAACAGCTCAGTGTTGCCTAAATTACTTTATTGAGAGGCAATGTGATTAATAAAAACAGCTCAATAGATGATTAGTGATTGTTAGTAATCCTAGTGGTTGTTTTGTAATAAGGGTTCTATTTTTAGTAAAAGCACTATTACCTTGAAAAATATGCCCTAGGGGATGCTGGAGGTTTGAAACAGGAGATTGTCTTCAAATACAGGCTTTACCACTCCAGCCTCATTGCTACAGGCATATTCTTTAGGAGGGAATAAACTTCCTGAGCACTGGCTTTGTGAAAGCAAACTAGAAAGGGAATGACAATTGACATAAACCTTTTGGGCTGTAGGCTGGAAGGGGGATCCTTGGGTCCCTCCCTGTCTTAGTCCCAAGACCTCAGAGGGAACAGAGGCATCTCCATGGTGACTGGAATAAACTGCTCAAGGGAGCAAAGCCAGGAACTCACTCAGGTCGACAGCTCAGGGATTATGAATAATAAAGTCAGCACCGTTCCAAGGCGATAGCTCTGAAGCTGGGCTCCAGGCCTGTTCCTGACACAGAGTGATAGAAAAAAGGAGCTGTAGGTTTCCATGGCCCCAAATAAACACAGCCTGCTCAGGCCATCTGGTGGCCTGGATTCTGGGAGAGGAGGGGGGTAGAGGAGAGAGAGACAAGCTACCCTGGGGTGGAGAGAAGAGCAGCTGGCAAGCTCCTCTCACCTGCTGCTGTCCCGAACCATCCAGAATAGAGGCCCTTCTGGAAGAAATGGGCCTGAGAGGTGCCACCTGTTCCCTTAAAAAGGTGTGCACTGAAGGCTGAGGCCTGCCTTCTCCTTTCCCTCCTTTGTCCTCCACAGGCTGAAATGGTGCTTCAAGAAGGGGACATTCACAGGGGCAAGAGGAAAGAAGGGAAAAGATAAAGCACCACCAGGCCATTCCCGGCAGCTCGGGAGCTTGCAGGCACCAGGCCTTCTCTATGGCCTGTGAGTTGGGGGATCACTACTTTGTGGGGACCCACAGGACCTTCTTCTTTTCTGGACTGCCCTGAGTCAGACTGGCTTTTAAAACTGAACATGACAAAGAGCTAGAGAATGTGAAATATTGCATAGTGGAATTGGTGAGTTGTAGGTTTGGATATATATATTTTTTTATTTATTTATTTTGAGAGAGAGCGCAAGCAGGGGAAAGGCAGAGAGAGAGAGAGAGGGAGACAGAGAATCCCAAGCAGGCTCCTCATTGTCAGCAAAGAGCCTCAGGTGGGGCTCCAACTCATGAAATCGTGAGATCATGACCTGAGCAGAAACCGAGAGTCAGATACTTAACTGACTGAGGCACCCTGGTGCCCCGGGTTTAAATATTTCTACGTGACTTCGAATTACTAACTTAACCTCTAAGCCTCAGAATCTCCATGAGTAAAACAGAGATTTTAGAGCTGCCTCCTAAGGCTGCTGAAGGTGCTAAGCACACGAAAGCACTCAACACTGCCTAGCACCAAGTCAGCAGGCAACAAAGTTAGCTGCTGCTAAGGGATAAGGAACTTCTTTTTACTCTCAGAGATCGGGTGGCTTTTACTTTTTGTTTCTCTGCAGCACGGGGGTGGGAAATCCAGTGTTACTAGCTCTATTCTGGATGCTAAGACCACCTTCCTCTCCCCATCCAACACCCCCCACCCCCTGGGGGAGGGCAGATAGAGTGTGCCTCCTGGCAGGAGTGAGTGGGCAATTCTGCCTCATTCTTCCAGGAACCTACTTCCTTCACCACCACCTGCTATCTGCCTGGTCCCCAGAAAACACCCCTAGGCTTTCAGCTGTTTGGCTGCAAATCCCCAGGGAGCGGAGCTCAGGACTCTCAGCTCCCCGATCCCCAGAGCTGTGTGATGAGAGGTGGGGGTGTGAGATGCACAGAGACAGGACCATGGCCCCAGGGCCATTTCTGCTTTTAGAATACTGGTGCATTTTTTATTAAAGAAGAGAATAAAGCATTTGTAAATATATTTCTCTCATGTATACTTCAAAGGTGACGCGCTGGTCGGCCGCTACAGAACTGGGGAGCAAACAGGCAGGAGCCCTTCCCCCACCCTATCCCCTCCACCCTAGATGACAGAGACACATGGAGGGCTGGGAGCTGCCCAGCTCCAAAGGACAAAGGGCTCCAAGATGTGTGAACGGAAGGACCAGCCGACAGCGCTCATCACAGTGCTGCCCAGAGAGCAGGGTGGCGCCTCCAGGGAGGTCGGGCATGCTTGTTACGAAAACCCCTTTACCCCTTAGAAACAGATAAGGCATGAAGGTCCCTGCTGGATTCCCAGCAGAGGCCAGGGCTGCCGCCTTCCGCGGGGCTAGGTAGCTCCTCTATTTTCTAGGATCTCAGGATGGGTAGCAGAAGGAACTGGAAGCCCCGAGGAACTGCTCAGGGCAAGCTGGAGGCCTGGACATCTCTTAGCTGAAGCTGGACTTTCTGAAGCCTTAAAAAGTTTAGCCTGTGACCCAGCTGGGTCCTCAAAAGACCCCCACAAAGGTGAGAGGTTAAGAACAAGCATTTTACAGGAGGGGGGAGACATGGTCTCCACCAGGTCCCATTTCAATACTGTTCAGGACAGGGTGGGAAATCTTGGGGAGTCCCCCGTGAAGGGGGAGCAGGGGCGGATGCTAGGACCACTGGCTGGTGGCACACACCTGGGACATTCTGGGGGCAGCAGTCATGATCTGAGGAGGGGTCGGCCTGTGGGGAGCATGGGAGTGAATGAGACACATCATGGTCCCTGAGATGGGGGCAGGCAGAGGCTAAGCTCGGCAGGTCAGAGGTGGCGTGCAGAGATGGGGGCTCCCCACCACCCAGACTCCTGGAAGGCTTAACGGCCGGAAGGCATTTCCAGGGCTGGAGCCCCAGGAGGCTGGCTGTGAGGGAAGCAGGTGCACTGTTCATGTATGGCTGCCGAGGGGCTCTCTGTTCCCCTCCTCTGATTGGCTACAGATCTGCAGTGGGCTGAGGGTCTCTGGGGAGAAGCCCGCCTCACCAGGGCTGGAGTTGGGGGCACTCGGGGCCTGGCCGAGGCTCTGCATGGCAGGGGCCGTCTCTGACCTAGTCAGGACTCTGGGGGATGGGGCAGCTGGTGCTAAGGGGATGACAGCGTGTCACAGCTGGGGAGAAGCAGTGGGTGGTCCAGGAGACCCCTGGAACCAGCAACAGCTGGCTCTGGGATCCTCCTTCAAGTGTTTCCAGTTGTGGGAAGGGGTCAGGGAGACCTTGCATTGCAAATCTCTAAAAAAAAAAAAAAAAAAAAAAAAGAAAGAAAAAAAAGAAAAAGCCAAATAGTCCAGAATGGCTTTCAGAAGCCTGGCCATGAATCTGAGAGCAAGGCTCAGGGTCAGGAAGCCAAGGGCTGGGGAGCTGGGAATCCCCGGGGGAATGGGGATGTTTGGCTTTGAAACTCTTAGCTGCGTCTTTGGGCTGACGCAGGATGGTGGAGGGTTCTGGGCGATCCGGGAGGTGTTGGACACCTCCCAAGTCAGCAGAGAACAGACTGGGTCCCCCCACCTCCCCACGCTCCCTGGGCCAGGCAGCAGCCTCCACTGGGCTATATTGCTGCTAAAGGGCTCCCTCACTCACCAGAGGCTGCATGGCCCAGGCATGAGAGGCCCTGTGACCTGACCCTGGGGGGAGGCTGCAGGCCGGGAAAGGGTCACTTGCTGCTGTGCGTCTTCACTTTGGTGGCATTGATGTCGGCCTTGGTCTTCTGGATTCTGGAGAAGATCTCTTTGAAGAGCGCCTTGTACTCGGGCTGGCTCTGCTCCAGCCGCTTGTCCACAGCCTCCACGTGCTGGCTCAGGCTCTTCTCGCCCACCCTGGCCTCCCCCTGGCCCTCCTCGCCCCCGCGAAGGTCTCTCCACGAGCTGTCGCGGGAGATGGGCCGCGAGGTCTGCACGCCAGCATGCCGCACCCCGGCGCCGTGCTGCCGGCACTTGCTCAGCAGCTCCTCGTACTTCTCGAGCAGCGCGTGGTACTGCTCGTCCACTTCCCGCAGGATGGACATGCCCCTCTTGCGGACGCTGTTGGCGTGCAGCGTCAGGTTGCCCGCGTGCCGGCTGGCTGGGTCTTTGGCCACGATGGCGTTGAGCGCCGTGTCGCTGCAGCTCTTGCGGACGGCATGGCCCGGGGAGGCGGCCGGAGAGGAGACGCCGTCCTGGGCGGCCGAGTCGTCCCCGCTGCCGGGCTGGGGGTCATCGGCCTCCGGGGCCTGGGTGAGGGGCGCGAGCAGGGCCTCGGCCAGGTGGTCCTCCCGGCCCAGCAGGTAGGTCTTCGCCTGCTTCATCTGCTGCAGCTCCAGCAGCTCGGCCTCCAGCTCCTGCACGCGGAGGCGGCAGCCCTCCATCTCGCACAGCTGCCGCTCCAGCTCCGCGTACTCCTGCAGCACCGCCGCGTACTCACGCTCCGCCCGCTCCTTGCGCTGCCGCTCCTGGCCCACCTGGGAACGCAGCACACCCACCAACGTCTGCAGCCGCTCGTTCTCCTGCTCCAGGGGCCGCGGGCCCAGCTCCAACGAGGAACTGTGCAGGCGGAAGGCATCCTCGCACCTGACGGGGAGCAGGCCGGCAGACATCTGGTCAAGGCCAAGGTCCCGGGTCCAGCTCCCCCACGCTTAACACATCTCCCGGCCAACGGGCAAGATCGTCTTGTTTGCTCCTCTGGAGCCACCCTCCGCCCTTTCTCTCCCTGCTCTCTGCCGCCTAGGCTGACCACGGTGACCTACGTCAGCCAGGTTTCTGCTCTCTCCTGAGCTCGACCAACGGGAGCCACCGGCAGCAGGTCTGAGCGTGGGAGCAGAGGGAGGTCAGGGAAGGTCTTCCCCAGATTCCTTCCCCGGTTAGTGCTGGCCAGGCGGCACCTGCTTGCCTTCCAGTAACCTCCTTCCCCTGGCCCCTTCAGGCCTAGGGGGACAGCAGCCCCTCACTGTTGCAAGCCTGGCATGCTGCAGTGTCCCTGTGGTCTCCCCACACCTTGTCCACACCCCTTCATCCATCACGCCTCAGTTACTCCGTGCAAGGTGCTGTCTCCTGCCAGGACCTTTACTGAAACACCCACTAAACACACAATAGGTATTTTTATCTTAAGAGGTCATCCTGTTAAGGTTTACTGAGAACTGAGAGGTGTAGTGGGTTAACTCCTCCTAAGTTAGAATTCTGGCTTAGTAAAGAGGCGACCTTGGATAAGCTCACATAACCTCTGGGCTTCCGTTTCCTCATCTGAGTAGTGGGGATGATAAAACATACCTCGCGGGACTGCCACGGGAATGAAAGCACTGCGAGTGGTGGGCACACGGCCAAGGCTCACTAAATGCCAGCTGCTGCCTGTTGTTGGCAACAGGATCAGTCCCTCCAACAGCCTGACGATGCACCAGCTCTCATTCCCACCTGCCGCCTGGTGCCCGCCCTCTCCTTCCTCCGGGACTCGGGGATGCCGTGCAGGGTCCGGACTGCCCCCCACCCCGCGGCACCCTAGCCTACCGGGGACTGGTGCACAGCTCCTTGAGACAGGGGAAGGTGTGGATGGTGCGCCTGCGTTCCCGCTTCTCCCGGCGCACTCGCAGCTGCTCCAGGCCCCGCAGCTGCTCCACCTGGGCCTGCAGTTCCTCCACCTGGGCCTGCAGGCGCTCGATGGTCTCCGTCAGCCTGGGGGTGGGGTGGGGGACATACATGGGAGGGTCTTTAAGGGGACAGGGCCAGCCCTCCTCGCCGCAGCCCTGGAGGGACTGGGGATGGAGGTGGGGACAGATGGGCAACCTTGGGCCCCCGCTTCCTGGTGCTGAGGTCAGAGGGAACTCCCTGTGTGCCCGAGGACCCGCCCGGCCCCTCCAGGGCTGAGCTGACCATCCTCCCCGTGCCACCTCAGTTCCTCCTACACCCTTCGAGCACTTATCACCCTGCACGGCAGTAAAATATTTACATGCCTGCCTTCCCGCCCAGGCTGTGAGCTCCCAAGGGGAGGGAATGTCTCTCTGTATCCCCGTCACTGTATCCGCAGCGCCTGAACAGAGCCTGGTATATAGCTGGTGCTTCAAGAAGGGCTGTGTGGCCTGAACGTGAAATCCACCACAATTGACAAGGGCGATCTCACCACCATCCCGGGGTCCCAGGCCCGGGTTTCTGGGGGAAGGAGCATGAGTCACACCCACCAGACCGTATGTCCACCGGCAACCCAACCTGACCTCCCCCTCGCTCGCCCCCCAGCCCGCCACCCGGCCCTCACCCATGGATCTTCTGCTGGGCAGCCTTACTCTCCAGCACCAGCTTCTGGTTGGTCAGCTCCAGGTCGCGGGCTGTCAGGTCCAGCTGTTCGTACACTTTGGCATGCTGCTCATTCATGTGCCGCAGCGTGTCCAGCTGCTTGGTTAGGTACTGGAGGGGAGAAGGTTGACAGGGCTGGGGACAGTGTGTTCACGTGGGCCATTCTCCTACTTCTAGGAACACGTTTGCCTGGAGGTATTGGTCTGCAGTAGGGGGGCGGGTAATGATGGTGGAGCAACGGCTGCCTGGGATAGTTGTACAGGTTGTGAACCGGCACGAGGCTGTAGGGCCAAGGCTGCGTCTGCTAAGAGGGCACCTTTCCCTAAGTTATACAAGGGCACCACAGGCCAAGGGGTCCACAATGGTGGGGGGGGGGAGCAGGTGCAGGGCCTCTGTGGCCCCTCACCTCGATCTCCTGCACTTGCTCCTCATTGGTGGCATACATCTGCTGCAGAGACTCCTCCAGCTCCTTGTTCCTCTCCAGCAGGGTCTTCCCCAGCTCTGCGGCCAAGTGCAAGTCTAGTGGAGAGGGGGCAGAGGGTGGGAGAAACATGAGCAGCTGAATGGGCTCAGAGGACTCCCGGGAACGTTCCAAGCATTCACTCTGTGCCTTCGGGACTCCAAGACAACTGGGACACGAGCTGGCCTCAGGGAGCCCGCAGGTCTGGGAGTGGATGAAAGCTGGGAGCGAAGACTTTACACTGACCGTCGCTTCTGCCTGCAGTGTCCTCTCCCCAGACATTCCCAAGCCTCATCCCTCCTCACCTTCCAATCTGTGCTTAAATGTCACCTTCTCCAGGAGCCCTTCCCTGACCGCTGACTCAAAACCACACCCTCCCCCGCCTCATACTCCCTCTCTGTTTAATTTTTCTCCTTTGCGAGTATCACCATCTAACTTACCAATTTGCTCATTTATCGTGTTCATTCCCCGCCCCCCACCCCCAACTAATTGTAAGCTCAGAGGGCAGAGATTTTGCCCATTTTGTTCGCTGATATCCCAGGCCCTGCAACAGCAGGGGCATAATAAATATTTTCTGAAAGAATGAGTGAGAGGAATGTGCTAAGAGAATCGACAGACGTGGGGCCAAGTGCCCTGGGATGATAGGTAAGGGAGAGCTCACTCTTCCTGGGATCAGTGGGAGGCTCAGGCAATGGGCAGCTTTGGGTTTGGAAGGGTGACTAGGAGCTCGCCGAGAGGCGAAGGAAACAGAAAGACTTTCTGGGTATTAGAATCGGATGAGGGCGCCTGGCTGGCTCAGTCAGTAGAGTGTGTCACTCTTGATCTCGGAGCTGTGAGTTCAAGCCTCAGGTTGGGTGTAGGGATTACTTAAAAATTAAAAAAATCTTAAAAAAAAAA